AGATAGATCTTATTTCTCCATGGACATAATTACTGTCCAAAAGAAAGAAAGCAACTGAAAGAACTACGAGAGGATTTTAGCCAGGGAGTATGTGTTTTTTCATAGGAATCACTCAGCCCAACCATTGGTGGAAAAATAGTTAAATATGATGGAACAAATTTCAAAACATATGAGAAAAATGATTCAAATTAGAGAAGCATAGACATAAGAAGGTAAAGAAAACATCTCTTCCTGTTGGACACTAACATAGCCAAATATTCATCTTTGTAGGTTGCCCAGTTTAAAGAAGGGTGGGCAGGGGGGAAGAAATCTGGGTTTGATATTTTGTACCCTAGACTACAAAGGAATCACTGCGGATATATAAATAAAAGACAGCTGGGCTGAGGTTTCAGATCACCTACACCCATCAGAAAGGCGGCCAGATTTGCAGCACTGTGCTCTTTTGTTTGATACCTGGACTAACACTCAACTCCATTGATATTTGAAAGGCAAAGAGAGACAGAGCAGAACTAGGTTATATTAAAAGGCTTAAATCACCTGCATCACCATAGAAACAGCAAAGAAAATGGCAAAGCTCTGAGGGAGGGTTTTCTTTACCTTTGGTTTAAATGTCTGTGAAGATGTGTGAAAGAGAAGGAAGAGTTCCTGCCTAGGAAAACCACGAGTCTGTCTCAAAGTCTACGAGACCATCGAAGAGGAGGAAGTGAATGAAATAACTGTGGCACATGCACAAGTGGCTGCAAGCGCGGCCAGAGCGGTAATTGGCTCTATTGATGCCCCTCAGATTAGCTACTTTTGGCTACAGCACTTGTCAGAACCATGCGGAGTTCACAGGAAAAAAAAAAATCTTGCTGCACTGAGGAAGGTCTCAGATGAGCCTTTGGATGCCTGTGGCGAAACACCAAACACAGATCTCAAGATGCCGTCTCCAGGGAGGGTTTCTAAATCCTTACATCATTTCACTTAATCCTTGTTATCCAGAGCTGGAAGAGGAAGGACTCCTGAAAGGAATCAGAGGCTCTTGCTTCCTCTCACTACCTCAGATGACAAGGAAGAAAGAGAAGAAAATTGACTGTGCTTCTGCTGAGAAAAATTTAAGAGGAGAATTGCATTAATCGCTGCGATCTCAATGAGGAGGAATCTAATTTGTTATTAAAATGCTGACCTAAAAGTGGCTTACGAACTCAAGAAAAACAGCAAATAGCCCAAGGGACCAGGAATGAAGGGTTACACACCGCTGGGTGTCAGGAGAGCTTCCTAGCGCTGTGAGGTCCCAAACGGGGATGTCTCAGAAGGTGCGGTGGAAGACGAGTCACCTCGAGCACTTGGCATGATACTGGATAGGGCACTAGGAGATATAAATGGAAGAGAACTAGGAAATCAGACCTTTAAAATGAAAGGCATTTTTATCTTTATATGCAGATTAGTGTGAGTCCTGAGCCTGTTCCAGAATTGTGGCCAAGACATTTCAGCTCACTTGGCTCTGAAGTCAGCTCTGTTGACTCGCCTTGTATCTTCAAAATGTGGGAACATTGTTGCAGGATCATAGAGAAATTCAAAAGAACATTAATTACTTACTTTCACACCCCAGTAATTGCCACCAAAAAGACAACTGCCAGCAAAAAGAGAACTGGATGCCTGCATTTTGTTTTCTGAGACAGCCCACAGATTCCAACACTGTGGACAAATACACACATTTTGATTTAGACTATTAACAGTAGCATTAAGGTAAGACATCTCCATGCTTTGGAATCAGGCTGTGTCCCTCCTCTTCTCACCTTGTCCTTCCTCCCAGCTGTTACGTGGCGGCTACCCAAAACGTGAGCAATTCCAGAACAGATCACAGCTTAGATTCGGTATTCCCAAAGTGGTTGGAGGACCAAGCGATCATTACTCACGTGCAACACACAGTAAACAGAGCTGAAACTCAGATGTGACTCTTCCACCCAGAAGATATCTATCTCTTAAATATACACTGAAAGAATAGCGAAACTTAGGTTTCACTCGAGTAGAAGAACTTGGCTCCCAGAACAAAATCAACAGCATATGGTTGCAGACTTCTCCCCAGCTCCTGGAGCTCTACTCTTCAGCAGCGGCGTTGCGAGTAGTAACGTACCTGCATATTGCTGTCCACACCAGACCCAGGATTCAGCTGTTGCTGACGCTGTCAGGCTCCAGTGCCGGTTGTGATGTGGAGGGGCACCTGCGCGTGATGGGCTTTATGCCTCTCCCTTCACTTGCAGCACTTCCCACGCTCTCCACATGACGCTGCATCTTCGCCCTTGTTTCCAAGCACCTCTTCTTGGAAAGAGCCTCATCTGCTGCCAACCAAGGGGACGTGCAGCCGTCTCGCGTGCGAGTCCCAGCCTTGAACCTCACCTCCTGACCCAAGGCGGTGGGGCAAGGTCTACCTCCGCCATCTCCTCCAACCCACCTTGTGTTCCTCCATGGGTCCTCTTGCCCGGCCACCCTCCTGCAGGCACTGAGGTTTGGAGACGAACGCTGTCTCACGGGAGAAACTGAAGAATCCCTAGGAGCAAACTTTTATTTGCACAAATATCTGCCAGGGAGGGTCATAACATTGTGGGAAACTTCCTAGAGTATTTCAACATTTCCTAAAGAGCTACTGTGCCTAATGGGGAGACAAAACCCCCAAATAGAAATGTTAAAGAAGAATCGGGTACTGTTAAAGCAAAAATCTCCACAAAAACCTAAGAGTGGTGTCAGTACCAGGGCTTCCATGGTTCTTACATACTATTGCACAAAATGCCTCGAGGACTGCTCCAGCCTCATCTGAAGTCAATAATAAACTCAAGTTTTTGTTTTCTTACATAGTTCTTATTTCTGTATCTAAAAATCTACTGAAGGAGACTGTGAAACCTTCTTTTCTACTGCAATTTTGGCCCCTCGATTTCCAGAACAAAAACAGCTTTTTCTGATAGATAACATTTAAAAACTTTAGCTGCTTGACCCATGGGGATTTCCTGAGGATATTTTCTCTAAAAAAAAAAAAAAATTGTGGCTTACTCTATCCATTTTTTTCTGAAAATTACGAAACAATTTGTTAATCTCCAAGAAACAGATTAAAGATGTTAGCAAAGCTCTATCTGTCATTTTGGATTCTTTGTCCGAAAAAAAATTAAGTCTGTTTCTGTTTTGGCAAGATCTGTCTTTGCTGTTCTTCCATAAAGCTATGATGAAATAAACTGTGGGACCATGTCATTATGAAACACGAATATTGCCTTTATTAAACTCTTTAGCCCATATTTTACACACAGATGAGTCTGATGAAGCTATTCCAGGAAGGGACGATGGTCACAGAAAAAGTCTCGCCTCCCTTGGGATGAATTTGGCCCAGCACTATTTAACTTACGATTCATTATTTTTGCATCTGCAGCGTCAGTTGTGCACAAGGACCCCTCTACGGGAGGCCCAGCACAAACAAAAAGAAAAAAAAGGCATTTCCTGCTCCCAAAAGCTCCCAGCATCTGTAGAGGACAGGAGACACAAGCAGGTAAAGAGAGATGGATGGAGGAGGACGTTAAGGGACCAGCCAGGTCAAACTTTTAGTGACCATCACAGCTAGGGAGAGTTGTAACAGGGACTAAATCTGAATGATATGTATATTCCAAAACAACTTTTTCAGTGTCCCAGGCCCCTTCTTGGCCCTATTGTCTCCAGTGAGAGCAAAAGTGGGAAAAGGACAATGCTGCAATAGATGGTTTCAGCTTTTGAGTGGTGCTGCTCCTTCCCCCCCCCTCTCGAGATACTTGGGAGAAGCAAGCACTCCAGAGCAGGACGTATGCTGGAGTCGTTCTTGCAAAAGCTGGAGAAGCCCAAAGCCACCTTGGAAGAACCAGTGGGAAGCGAAAATATATTTAGACTCGGCTTTTTAGTTTTACCTTTCTCGCCAGATGCATTTTGGAAAACCAGCTGCAGGCTGCTAGGAAGACAAGCCACAGCCTCCCCTCCTTCAGTGAGTGCCGCCCGCCTCCCCTTCCAGCGCCCACCCTCCCTACGAGCCACCCCACCGCCTCCCCAAGGCCTCGGCGCCCCAGTGCCCACGCAAGGCAAGGGGATGCATCTGCCCCCACCCCGGGGTGCCGCCCGCTGCCCTTCTGCAGAAGGGCATCTCTGCCCTCTTGCATCTCTCCTCCTTGCCCCTCTGTTCTTTCCAGCGCTTTTGCATCCCTCCTCTTTGCATCCCTCCCCTTCGCATGCCTCCCTTTTCACCTCCCCCTTTAGCACCTCTCTCTCATTTACATCCCTCCCCTCTGCATCTCTGCCCCTTCGCATCTCTGCCTTTCCCATCCCTCCCCTTTGCCTCCCTCCCGGCTGCACCTCTACTCTTTGCACCTCTGCCCCCTTGCACCCTCGCCCCTTTGCGTCTCTGCCGCTTTG